CCCCCGGACGCAGCCCATCAATGTCCCCTTCTCCGTCCCTGCCGCCCAGGCCTCCCCCCAGGGCCCGCTGACACCCTGGGAGGCCCCCCACCCCCACCTGCCTGGCCTTGGGGGACACCTGGTGTTCAGATCGAGTGCTCCAGGCTGTGCGACTAGAGCCCCCCGCAGCCGTGAGTGGCAGCGGCCCCGGGGCATGGCCGGCGCGGTGGCCACATGCAGGAGCCCGCGGGGCAAAGCTGAGCTCTGGCTAGGGGCACGGGCGGCGCAGGTGGGGCCGCAGCGGGGCGCAGGGCCCTGAGGCGGCGGGCGGCACCTTGCACCCCATCGCTCCACTCGGCTCCCGGCCCGGGCCCTCTGAGGAGGGAGGAGGGACGGTTTCACCCTCATGACGCCCACCCTGCCGATGGGCAGAGACCTGGCACCTTCAAGGGGCCCGGTGTGGACCTAAGTGAACCCCGAGCGCCCTGTCGACCCGTCGCAGGGCGGGGCTCTGGCGGGGCAGCTCTGACTTGAGGGGCACCTTCTCCCACCAGGGGCAAAACCCGCTCAGAGGCTGTGGTGGTCCTGCCTGAGGGCGGGTGTGGTGGTGCTGTGCCCAGCCCTGTCCCTCTCCCACTCGGGGATGCGGGGCTGGCAGCCGGCAGGGCCAGCTGGGGGCAGCCTTCCCGGAGGGCGACGATGTGACCAACGTGTTACCTCTTTACAGCTTTAATCGGGCAGCCCAGCCTGGGCGGTGGGACAGCCCTGCCCACTTCTGCCAGCTGCTGGCGGAGCCCCACCCCAGCCCACAGGGGCAAACAGGAGGGATTCTGGGAGTAGAGGGACTACAAGAAACCAGGGGCTGTGACCCGCTGGCATGCCCTTCCCTGGCCCCCAATAAAAACGGGGCAGCAATCCCAAGCTCCCCACCCGGCCTTCATTCATGGCCAAGTTCCAGCCCAGCTCCTGCCCACTTCCCTGCAGGGCCCAGCACGTGGCTTGGTCAGGGGCCTGGTGGGTGGGGGACCCCCTTCTGCCCAGGGCCAGACGTGGAAACAGGAGAGGGGCACCTGTGGAGGGCCAGCAGACACCTGGCTCCTCAGGGTCCCGGGTGGGCTGGTTGTGGTGGCACATAAGGGGGAGGAGCTGAAAGCCAAGGAGACAGGATTAGGGTCCCTGGCACAGGAGCAGTGAAAGTGACCCCACTCCCTGGGGTGCAGGTTGTGGGGAAGAGCCAGCCTGGGGTCTCAGCTCGAGGCAGAGGGAGTCAGAGAGGGACTCAGGGTGGGACAGGCAGGTCCTGGCTCGGGTGGGGGAGGCAGGAGAAGGGGGCTACAGGTTGCTCACTGACCTGCAGGGTTGTAGACAGGGGGCCCAGCCGGGTTGAGAGGATGCTGGGGAGGACCACTAGGTGGGCACATGAAGCCAGGTGGTGGGGGTGCAGGGCCAGCCTTGGGGTCCTGGGGGTATGGGTACACTGGCTGCACTAGGTAGCTTGTCATTGGAATCTCCTGACCTAGGTGGGGGACCAGAATGAGCACTGAGAGCTCCATGTCTGTGGGGCACCGTCACCTCCTGTCCAGGAAACCAAGGTGAGCACCACTGGCACCTGCCTGCCGCCCCTACACCTTGCTTGTCAAAGCAGAGCAGGGAGCTGGGTGATGGCCCCAAAGAACACAGCCTGGGGAGTGTCCTACTGGGGCCAGGACAGCGCAGCTGGGGCTGGTATCTTATCACCCAGCAGAGCTGCCCCAGCCCTTCCCTCCCACACTGACCACCCAGGTCTGTCACCCACGCACAGCGTCAACTCCCACAACTCCAGACCCCCTGGACTTAGCAGGTGGCCCGTGCGTGACCTGCACACCCCCAGCTGACTGGCGGCAGCCCACACGCGTCTGAATGGCCGCGCTGCTGGCCGTGTGCACGGGGGTGTCCACGTGGGCCCCTGGCAGGCCCCCCTGGGTTAGGTGCACGGGGGTGTCCACGTGGGCCCCTGGCAGGCCCCCCTGGGTTAGGTGCCGGCAGGTGGGTGTATACAGGGCTCACACTCTGACCACCCGCGGCCCTGGGCTCAGCCCGCCCGCCTCGGCGCTCGTGCCCGCACTGTCCCACCTGCAAAGGGGCTCTGCAGCTGCCGGCGCCGGCGGGACAGGTAGCGGCAGGTGCAGAAGAAGCAGCAGAGGGTGGTGGCGACCACGGCCACAAAGAGGATCACGGCGGAGACGACGCCTGCCGTGACCTTGGGGCTTGAGGAAAAGAACAACCCTTTCACCTGGCAGCACTCCCAGGAAGGGTATGCCGGGGACACAAGACGGGGCTCCAGGTCCTGGGGGACCTCTCGGGAAGGCAGGCTGTGCTGCCGGCCAGGCTGCGGTGCGTGGGGACAGTGTGCCCCTCACGGCAGCACGGAGAGCCCACCGGGAATTACTAAGCCCCAGCCCCAGCCCCTCAGCCACAGCCTCCTCAGGTTTTGTATTAGGGTCCCCTTGGAAAGAGGCCTGGAAACCATGAGTTTGGGCTCTTCACTTTGAGGAAACAAGACCCAGCCACCCAGCTAGTGAGCAGTGTCCCCTCCTTCTGGCCACAGCTCCTTCCCCAATGCTGCCTGGGCCCTGGGGTGGACCCCGCATCTTCCTCCACGGGGCCTGACCCTGATGGGACCGAGGGAGCCCCAGCTGATAGGTAGTTGTCAGCATCACAGTCCGGATTTTGGCTCAGGATGGGGAGGTGGACAGGGTGGGAAGGAGAAAGAACAGGCTCTGGCGGGCTCCTGGGAGGGTGGAGAGGTGAGGGGAGGCCAGCCCACCTGAACCCCAAGCAGCGCTTCTGCTGAAACTCAGAGATGAGCAGGCTCAGGTCCCTGCAGCAGAACCGACGGTGGCAAGTCCCACAGCAGAAGGTGAAGGGCTGGCAGCTAAACCCCGGATGCCAGGAGTCATTCTCATCCAGGTACCCCAGGCAGCTTGTGCCGGCCAGCGCTGTGGGCAGGGTGGGGTGGTCGGGGGCTACCAGGCTGGTCCTCTGGCCTTAGCCCCACCCCATGGTCCCCCCAGGCCCAGTGATCCCACTTCCCTGGTGGTCCACCCCCATGGTTCCCCAACCGTGGTCCCTGCTTGTGCAGAAGCAGCAGCAGATGGCGGCGGCAGATGGCCTGTGATCCCTGCCCCAAGGTCCCCACCCCCAGTGGTCCCCACTACCCCCTTGTGGTTCCCCCCACTAAGCCCCAACCTGTGGTGGTCCCAAGCCCACTGGAGCCAGCAGTGAGAGTTGCCCCTTGTCTCCACCCTCAGAATCTCAGCCCTTGACCCCAGGGGTCAGCTGCCCAGAGCCCAGACTCCAGCCTCTCCTTCCTGTCCCCTGCAGACTGTCAGCACCCCCTGGGGACCCCATTCCTGGTTCCCCACCCCTTACCCAGGGGGGCCCCCAGCATCAGGAGGGTGAAGGTCAGGAGTGGCATGGTGGGAACCGGTGCTGTGGGTACCGGAGCTGCCAGGGGCTGCCCTCTGCCAGGCACGGCGGCAGTGGCCAGGCTGACCAGCAGTGACCACGCCCAGGGACCCACCCACTGGCCACACCCCAGCCCCCTAGTCTTGTCCCTTCCTTCTGTGGTGCTCTAGTCTCAGCGCTGTGGACCCATCCCCCTGCTGCACCCAATCCGTGCAGCGGACCCCAGAAGCCCGGATCCTGGTGCCACCTCCCTAGGCCCAGGCACATGGGCCAACCCTGGAGGGGCAGGGTGGACCTTCCCTGTGCCATGTCCAGCCTGGGATGCCTGGAGGAGGGGAAGGAAGGGGCTGGAAGTCACCCCACCCCCACTCCCAGAACAGAGGCTCCACTGAGAGGCAGCTCAGTGGAGCTTTGTCCCCAGCTGGCCATGCCCACAGCCAAACAGGCTCCCTGAGGCGGCCCCTCCCCCTCCACACGGACACCAGGGAGCCTTGGTGCCCAGGTCCTGCCTCTCTGGGGTCTCTGTGTCACCAGTTCCTTAGGAGGCCCTNCCGCGGCCCTGGGCTCAGCCCGCCCGCCTCGGCGCTCGTGCCCGCACTGTCCCACCTGCAAAGGGGCTCTGCAGCTGCCGGCGCCGGCGGGACAGGTAGCGGCAGGTGCAGAAGAAGCAGCAGAGGGTGGTGGCGACCACGGCCACAAAGAGGATCACGGCGGAGACGACGCCTGCCGTGACCTTGGGGCTTGAGGAAAAGAACAACCCTTTCACCTGGCAGCACTCCCAGGAAGGGTATGCCAGGGACACAAGACGGGGCTCCAGGTCCTGGGGGACCTCTCGGGAAGGCAGGCTGTGCTGCCGGCCAGGCTGCGGTGCGTGGGGACAGTGTGCCCCTCACGGCAGCACGGAGAGCCCACCGGGAATTACTAAGCCCCAGCCCCAGCCCCTCAGCCACAGCCTCCTCAGGTTTTGTATTAGGGTCCCCTTGGAAAGAGGCCTGGAAACCATGAGTTTGGGCTCTTCACTTTGAGGAAACAAGACCCAGCCACCCAGCTAGTGAGCAGTGTCCCCTCCTTCTGGCCACAGCTCCTTCCCCAATGCTGCCTGGGCCCTGGGGTGGACCCCGCATCTTCCTCCACGGGGCCTGACCCTGATGGGACCGAGGGAGCCCCAGCTGATAGGTAGTTGTCAGCATCACAGTCCGGATTTTGGCTCAGGATGGGGAGGTGGACAGGGTGGGAAGGAGAAAGAACAGGCTCTGGCGGGCTCCTGGGAGGGTGGAGAGGTGAGGGGAGGCCAGCCCACCTGAACCCCAAGCAGCGCTTCTGCTGAAACTCAGAGATGAGCAGGCTCAGGTCCCTGCAGCAGAACCGACGGTGGCAAGTCCCACAGCAGAAGGTGAAGGGCTGGCAGCTAAACCCCGGATGCCAGGAGTCATTCTCATCCAGGTACCCCAGGCAGCTTGTGCCGGCCAGCGCTGTGGGCAGGGTGGGGTGGTCGGGGGCTACCAGGCTGGTCCTCTGGCCTTAGCCCCACCCCATGGTCCCCCCAGGCCCAGTGATCCCACTTCCCTGGTGGTCCACCCCCATGGTTCCCCAACCGTGGTCCCTGCTTGTGCAGAAGCAGCAGCAGATGGCGGCGGCAGATGGCCTGTGATCCCTGCCCCAAGGTCCCCACCCCCAGTGGTCCCCACTACCCCCTTGTGGTTCCCCCCACTAAGCCCCAACCTGTGGTGGTCCCAAGCCCACTGGAGCCAGCAGAGTGACAGTTGCCCCTTGTCTCCACCCTCAGGATCTCAGCCCTTGACCCCAGGGGTCAGCTGCCCAGAGCCCAGACTCCAGCCTCTCCTTCCTGTCCCCTGCAGACTGTCAGCACCCCCTGGGGACCCCATTCCTGGTTCCCCACCCCTTACCCAGGGGGGCCCCCAGCATCAGGAGGGTGAAGGTCAGGAGTGGCATGGTGGGAACCGGTGCTGTGGGTACCGGAGCTGCCAGGGGCTGCCCTCTGCCAGGCACGGCGGCAGTGGCCAGGCTGACCAGCAGTGACCACGCCCAGGGACCCACCCACTGGCCACACCCCAGCCCCCTAGTCTTGTCCCTTCCTTCTGTGGTGCTCTGGTCTCAGCGCTGTGGACCCATCCCCCTGCTGCACCCAATCCGTGCAGCGGACCCCAGAAGCCCGGATCCTGGTGCCACCTCCCTAGGCCCAGGCACATGGGCCAACCCTGGAGGGGCAGGGTGGACCTTCCCTGTGCCATGTCCAGCCTGGGATGCCTGGAGGAGGGGAGGGAAGGGGCTGGAAGTCACCCCACCCCCACTCCCAGAACAGAGGCTCCACTGAGAAGCAGCTCAGTGGAGCTTTGTCCCCAGCTGGCCATGCCCACAGCCAAACAGGCTCCCTGAGGCGGCCCCTCCCCCTCCACACGGACACCAGGGAGCCTTGGTGCCCAGGTCCTGCCTCTCTGGGGTCTCTGTGTCACCAGTTCCTTAGGAGGCCCTCTCCTCTCCAAGTGCCCTGCCAGGACCAGGGCTGGGTTCTAACATCCCCAAGCCCATGGACTTGTTCCCTGGTCAGAGCCTCAGTTCACTGGAGCTTTCATCACAGGACCCTGAAGCCGGGCTGTCCCCCAGCAGCTCTGCCTCCCATGCTGCAGATGCAGCTAAATACGTAATTTATAGTATTTATCTGTGATCACAGATAATCACAGAAGCTCCTTTCCTGTGACACAGCGGGTCACTTCTTGGTCATCCCAGGAGGACTTACCGTCAGGGCACCTGGGCTGAGCAGCGGAGGGAACAGAAGGCTGTGGCACTGCTGACCTGCACAGGACTGAAGGGCCCTTACCCCTAATTGGACAAGGGTGTCTGCCATTAGGCAAGGTCCGCAGGGGAGCTCTGAAGAGGCCCACATCCTGACATCACAGTGACCCCTGGTATGGCCGTGAGCAAGGAGCAGGGCCTCCCCCACAGCCCTCGGCCTCTTCCAGATGCCTTGTCCACCTGCCTTCTTGAAATCACAGCTTCGAGTCTGCCCACTCGCACAGCTGGCATACATTTTTTGGATCCTAAATTGTCATCCCTTCCAAAGGTATCCCATTACCTAGAAATGTGACCATCACCTCACCCTTAGCTAAGCATCATTTGTAAATGGCCACAGGTGAGCCGCCAAGGGCCCCTCGCCTGTCATTAGCATCAAAGGTGTCTGGCCGTGGCTGTGGGTGCACTCCCTCTCACGGTCGGTGTCACCCCCATGTCTCCCCAGGGCTCCAACGTCACCTTCTGGGCTCTTCCAGGAACAAGACAAGGTGGCCATGGGGCATTGCTGGCTCTCGAGCATCACTCATTCATCACTCCAGTGTCACTCGCAGGAGTGACCTGTTATAACTGGCTTCCTTTCCTTTTACCCCACTCTGTCCTCCAGCGTTTTCCCCACATCCTTCACTCCTATCCACCGAGAGCTCTGCAAATCCTGGGAGCGCCTTGGGGCCCCAGCTGCCATGCACCAGAGCGAGACCTGCAGGGCCCCAGAGCTGCCAGATCCGTTCCTGTCCCCTTATCTCAAACTTCAGTGCCTCACCAGCCAGCCCTGCCCTTTCCAGACTGGTCTATTTGGACAGAACAGGAGCTGGCGGTCACCTGGCAGCACCTCGGGCCACGTACTCTTCCTCTTGCCCCAACCTGGGTGTGGTCTCTGAACTCTTCTTGGGAACTGTGCACCTACTGCAAAGGTGCAGCCGAATGAACGTGAAAGTGCTCTGGGCGCAAGGACACGGGGTCTGACAGCCCTGTGTCTGGGCCAGGAGCAGGAGGCGGCCCCGTCAACCTCAGTCTGTGGGGGGTCAGCACGCCCAGACTTGGTTGTCAGTGCAGCTGCAGGCCTTCTCGGTCAACATCAGGGTCAATCTGGCCTGGAGCACTAACCGACTGTGGCCAGACCCTGTCACTTCCCAATGTCAGTGCCTCCCCAGCTCAAAGAGGAGAAACAGGAGGTAGAACCAGCCTCAGCTCCTGGCTGGCAGCAGACAGATGTCCCTCCAACTAGACACGGGAGCTGACACCAGGGACACCCAGGGTAAAGAACCATCCTGTATGCCTCATGGTGGACCCTTCCCCGAGGCACAGTCTCACTTAATTCCATTTCCTGCCCGTGAGACTAATCTAAAGGAGTACTTTGCACTGTGAAAAAACGGGCACCTGGTGTGGGCACAGCAGAAAAGGACCCCTGGACCTTCCTCACCCACTTCTGAACCCACGATAGACTAAACTTCCACATTAAGGGGCCTCCTTTAAAGCCACCTGGGTGGACAGTGTGCCTCTCACCTGGAGCTGGGTCAGCTGACGCCAGGGCCTGCACAGGCTCCACCTGGCCCTTCCCCATTTAATTTCCCTTCTCCAGGGAGGGGGCAGAGGTGTGCAGACTAGGTTCGTCTGTAAAGATTACTTTACTCTCCTAGAAAAATACACGCTGCAAATCTGAGGGCTACCATTCACGTCAGGACTCCTGAGGGAGACAGTTACCTCTGGACACCAGACAGTGCGGGGAGGTACATTAAATACGGTTGGAGAGGTGGACTTTTAAAAAAACCTGTTTCTCCTATTTCTAGAAAAACAAAAAAACAAAAAAACAGGAGAAACAGACTGCCATCTGCCCGGCTTCCTGTGTGTGCACGTGTGTGTACACGGGAACAGCTTGGGGGAGGGGCGGTCATGCAAACAGGAGGGACAGGAAAAATCCTGGCGAGTGTCTTAGTGTTGCATGTGGGAGGGGAGGGGCCCTGGAGCCTGGGCAGGTAGCTGCGTCCTCTCATTCCACTGAGAGGCGGGCGTCCGTTCGAGAGCAGAAGCTCTCTCCCTCCAGGGTGCTCCCACTGAGCAAATCAGACGTCCCAGGAGCGTGAACACTGCTGTAGAGTAAGGGCCGGCATGGCGCCCTGAGGTGGGCAAACCACCCGGGAACATGTCCTCCTGGTGAGCAGTGTGTTCCGGAACTAGGGGAGGGCAGTTGGGGAAAAGAGGTTGTGGAGACGGGTCATTGTCAAGGGGACGGTGAGAAGTGTCCTGTTCCAGCATTGCTAAGTGACAGCACAGACAAGCCTGGTCTCAACTGTCGCCAGGGTCACTGCAAAGGCCAGGGCCGTGGTTGAGGCCACTCTGGGCTGAGAAGGATGTGCACCTCCAGGCCGTGGGCTGCGAAATGGTGTGCAGCTGGGCAGGGAGGGCTAGAGGCACAGAGACCCGCTCCTTAGATCCCGATGGTCTGCAGAACCCGCCTCTCGTTGTCATTGAGGTGCCCAGAAAACATCACATAGCAGGGCTGCTGTGCGAACTGGCAGAGGAAGTCCGTGAGATATGCCTGTGGGGAGGAGGGCAGCACTGACGGTCCCGGACACATGGGCTCCTACACAAACACCAGCACCCCAGGGGTGGCTTCCCACATTCTTGACCTGGTTTAGGTTCCTGGTTTAGGTAGGCATTTGGAGACCAAATGCCACAGGGAAATGAACTCTGCCCAGGACCCATCTCACGTTCCACCCCGAGGACCTCTGTGACAGCCTCAAGAAGCTAGACGCGTCACGGACTAAAGCACGAGGCAAAGTCCCACCCAAGCCCATGGCCTCAGCAGGACAGGAGGTCCGCCCTGAGGCTGCAGCGTGAAGCGGAGGGGCTCTGTCTGGATGCCTCACCTGCAGGTCGACCTGGTAGAGGGGGTCCTTCAGGGCGTCGGGGTCATCGTCTTCGTCTTCCTCGTAGTAGTCCTCCTCTGCCAGGCGCAGGTGGGGGGTGGGGTGGG